TTTTAGGAGTGGTGGAACACCCTGAAAGCGTTGCACCAGCCTGTCCCTGGCAGTGAGAGCACAGGGGACCCAGCTGGGGCTCCCTGCTGCCCCCAGTTGTGGGGGCGATGGGCTGAGTGGCCTCGTCTCCCTGCAGCAAACGTCCCCAGACAGTCAGAGTGTGCCAGGGCAGGCAGGGTGTGATGTGGTTTCTGCAGCCCCGGGATGATGTTACCACAGGGCATGGGCTGTGGCTTGGCTGGAGGGGTCCTGTGTCCCGGTGAGCCCCCTCTGGCTCACCTGGGCCGTGTCCTTGGAGCTCGGTTGGCGTGTCCTGCCCGCTGCCACCCCACGCTCGCCTGCTGCCCTTCGTGGGGCTGCTACCCCGGCTCCTGCTCCTGCTCCACCTCTCTCCGTGTCCTGCCAGTGGTTTTACCCTATGGTAGGTTACGTCATGCTGTTCTACCACAGGGTAGAACCACGGACAGGATGCCGGGGCTGCCTCCACGTCTGAGGATTGCTGTCTGCCTGCACGGCCGGGGGAGCACAGCCAGGATGGTGCTGTCCCCAGCTTGGCGTGGGGCTCCCGGGGCAGCGTGTGTGAGGGACTGGGTGCACTCGGGGTGTGTGTGTGTGGGACAGCCCAGCTGGCACTGTGTGTGGCACTTGCCGAGGTTCCCAGTGCTCTGAGTGGGGCCTGCAGCAAGCTGGCATCTCCAGAAACACTTCACAAACGCCACACAGCACCCCGGGGAGGGGAACAGCCTCGCCCGGTCACACCAGTGCCCAGCACCTGCCTGGCACCCCTGGGAGGTGGGCACCCTCTTGGTGCAGGGACACACGCTGTCCCCTCCCTGAGCTGCTTGTCACCGTGTTCCCCTTGTCTCCTTCCAGGGAGTGGTTCTTCCTCCTGTCCCACGAGGTGCTCAACCCCATGTACTGCCTCTTTGAGTACGCGGGCAAGAACAACTACTGCCTGCAGATCAACCCCGCCTCGTCCATCAACCCCGACCACCTCACCTACTTCCGCTTCATCGGCCGCTTCATCGCCATGGTGAGAGCGGGGGTGGCACCAGGGCTCTGCGTCCCCTGTGGAGCAGGGGACGGGGTGGGCAGCAGGGCCAGGGGCAGCTCCGCGTGCCGTGGCTGTGCTGGCCTCGGCACTGCTGCCCTCCCCGAGCCCCTTCTTGCCCACGTGGGGGTCAGTGGGAGATGGGCCTTCAAGGGGTGCTGTGCGTGATGCGTTTTGGATCCACGGAGTGGCTGTGGGGCCAGAGGAGACCTGGTTTCCCAGGAGCTGTGGCGGGGATGGATGGCTCCAGGTCTTTGGCTGTCACCCCAGGTGCTGTCGGGTCTGCAGCTCCAGGGACTATTTTTAGTCGCAGCAGTGTGAGATTTTCCAGCTGCCCAAGCTCCAGAGCAGCTCCTCCCGTTTGTCTCGGGCTGCTGAAGGGCAGTGTGGCCCGGGCTGGCAGGGGCTGCCGGGGAAGGGTCGCTGGCCCGCAGCCCGCGGGGTGTGCGCGGGGGCGGCCCCGGCCCCGCTGTCCTGCCCTGCCCTGCCCTGCCTCGCAGGATACCAATAAAACCCCAGACTATTACTCACCGCTGGGCCGTTCTAGACAAGCGTCTGCATTATTTTTGGCTGCCTTTGCCTCGGGGCTCCTGGAAGCCAGGGATTCAGGGAAGCCACAGCACAGCTCTGTTTAAACAAGTGCTCTTAATAGAGCTGTGAGGGGAGAGGGAGATGCAGTGGAATTTGCCGTGGGGAGGGAGAGGGGCTGCAGCCCACCCGGCCTGGGAAGTGCTGTTGGGGCAGCCCACCCTTCCCTCCACGTGTGCCAGTGAGGAGCAAGTGCCACAGCTCAGGAGCCCCTGAATGAGGCCCCTCTGCCCCGTGGCTGCCCCAGGGTGGAGCACTGTCTTGCCCCGGGGCTGCATCCCAGGGTCCCCTGTGACCTGGGGTCCCCTCCCTGCCACAGGCTCTGTACCACGGGAAGTTCATCGACACTGGCTTCACGCTGCCCTTCTACAAAAGGATGCTGAACAAGCGCCCCACGCTGAAGGACCTGGAGTCCATCGACCCCGAGTTCTACAACTCCATCGTCTGGACCAAGTGAGTGCCCTGCACTGCCTCCTGCAGAGCTCTCCCCGCAGCCCCTCACTGCTGCTGGGTGCCTCCGTCAGGAGTCACATCCCGGTGTCCCCCCAGGGAGAACAGCCTGGAGGAGTGCGGCCTGGAGCTGTACTTCATCCAGGACATGGAGATCCTGGGCAAGGTGACCACCCACGAGCTGAAGGAGGGTGGCGAGAGCATCCGTGTGACGGAGGAGAACAAGGAGGAGTACATCATGTGAGTGGCTGGCCCAGGGGTCCTGTCGGGCACCCCTCTACTGGCTGCAGGGGTGGGAGCGTGGGGCTTGGGACGTGGCTGCTTCCCTGGGCTACGTGGCCTGTGACAGGCCCGGGCTGGCGCGGCTGGCCGAGCTCTGCTGCGGTCTGGATTGCTGCGGGCTGGGCAGCTGCCAGTACTTTCAGGAAAAAGGAGAGGGGAGAGAGGCTGAGGCTGCTTTCCCATCCCATGGCTGTTCCCCCTGCCTGCCTGGGGGCTGCCAGGGCCAGCTCAGCTCCAGCCAGGGGATGTGGTTTGCACCCCTGGAGCTCCCACTCTCGGGGCTGAATGCTGCTCATGGGTTTGGGGGCAGAGACAGAAACCCACCCGTGGGAACTGAGGGGAGCCCTGGTGCTTTGAGAGGGCCCCTCTCCCATTCCCCACACTCCCTGGGCCCTCCCTGCTGGTGGGAGGGATGCTGGGGTTTCCCCGGGCCGGGCCAGCAGTGCTGGCCCCGTGCCCACCCCGTGTGCCTCCCCAGGCTGCTGACAGACTGGAGGTTCACACGGGGCGTGGAGGAGCAGACCAAGGCCTTCCTGGACGGCTTCAACGAGGTGGTGCCGCTTGAGTGGCTGCGCTACTTCGACGAGAAGGAGCTGGAGGTGAGCTGGGCCCCGGGGTGGGGATGAGGATGGGAAGTGGCACGTGGTGACCCTGCTCATGCTCTGTGCCCATCCCCTGATGACAGCCACGGGTGTTGGGTCTGGGGGTGGCTCGTGGGGTCCATTGGCAAGAGAACATCCCGTTGGATGGGAGGCATTTGTGCCAGATACCTCAGTGCTGGCACCTGGGCCAGTGAAGGCTGGCACCAGAGGGGTTGGCACTCAGAGCATGGGTGCAGGGCCCCGTCTGTCCCCTGCTGAGTGTCCCCTGTCCCCAGCTGATGCTGTGCGGGATGCAGGAGATTGACATGAACGACTGGCAGAAAAATACCATCTACAGGCACTACACCAAGAACAGCAAACAGATCCAGTGGTTCTGGCAGGTCAGTGTGAGCCCAGCTGAGGGCGGGGGGTGCCCTGGCAGGAGCCATCCTGCAGCCTGGGAGCAGGATCCCACTCAGCTGCTGCGTTCCTGCTGCAGGTGGTTAAGGAGATGGACAACGAGAAGAGGATCCGGCTGCTGCAGTTCGTGACGGGGACCTGCCGCCTGCCCGTGGGGGGCTTTGCTGAGCTCATCGGTGTGTCCTGGGGGTGGCACCGTCCTGTCCCTGTCCCCACACACAGCTCAGGGCAGCACAGGGGCAGGAAAGCAGCTGTGAGGTCTGAGCACAGTGCTCTGGTGCTGTGCCATTTCCACACATGTTCTTTGGCCGTGACCGAAGGGTCCCACCAGGGTAAACTCTGTCGGGCTGGTTTGTGATCTCAGTCTGAATGAGATTGGATTTCTGATTCAATTTTCATTCTTGTGTGACAAAGCCTCCTTTTCAGAAAACCACAGTGTGGTTCCACTCCTCCTTTAATTTGCTGCTTTTTGGGGCCTATACCAGCCTTTCCCTGACTTTCCTGGCATTCGTGTTAAGCCAACCAGCTTGCTTAACCCACTCAGTTGTTCTCGCTGGCATATTAGCTTTTCCCACCCCCTGGAATCTCTCCAGCATTCCCACTGTGTTAAAAAACTACCTTAGTGACTCAGACTTGCTGTGCCAGGTCCTTTAAAACTTGGATGGACTCACACAATCCTGAGGGTTTACAGATCAATGAGTTTTAGCACTTGCTCTGGAGCCATCGTGCTCAGAGATGGTGCTCTTGCCCCTCTGTGCTGTGAATCTGCTTTTTGCTTTCTCCTTTATTTGAATGTCCTTTCTGCAGCCAGGCAGGGATTGCTGCCATGGATTTTATGCCCTGTGGGACCCTGAGATTGTAGGGCCATGGTGGTGGATCTTGGTGTGTGGGAGGGGTTTCTTTTTCAGCTCCTGGTCGTGTAAAGAGCTTTGCTGTGCTCTTCATTAACAGGCAGCAACGGGCCTCAGAAGTTCTGCATAGATAAAGTTGGCAAAGAGACGTGGCTGCCACGGAGTCACACGTGGTAAGTCCCTGCCCCTCGGCCAGGCTGGAGCGTGTGGGGACAGGGGAAAGGAGCTCTGGGGGCTGCACAGGGCTCTCCATGCCCTGGCAGGGGACTGCTGCTCCTGGCCTGTCCCAGCCTCCGCTCTCTCCCCAGCTTCAACCGCCTGGACCTCCCTCCCTACAAGAGCTATGAACAGCTGAAGGAGAAGCTGCTTTACGCCATCGAGGAGACGGAAGGCTTTGGCCAGGAGTGATGGAGCTGTGGGTTCCCGGAGCGCTGCCGGCCGCTGCCCAGGGCCCAGCCCTGCCCGGGATGGGCACGGGCCCCTCTGGACACTGTGGCTTTTGTTCCTGGGCAAGGTCTGCACTGACATGGCCCTGGGGGAACGGGGCTGTGTTTCCCTCCCTGAGGAAACCCGAGGTGTGATGGAGAGAAGGACACAAGGGCTTGGCTTGCGAGGGCTGGCACAGAGGGGCTGGAGGGCAGCACAGGGGGCACCGGGGCTCCCCAGCCCCCTCTGCAGACTCAGTTATGTTTGGTAGATGCTCTTCTTCCCCCTCGTGCTTTCTGCCTTTCACAGCATTTTGGTGAATGTGGCAGGTGAGGGGGAAAATGGCTCTCTGATTGACTTCTGGTCCCCGTCCTGCACCCGGCCTTCAGCAACAGTGACAGGGATCCCCACGACGATGCTTCTGAGGGGCTCTTGGGCACCATCTGAGCACCAGGACAGCCCTTCCCAGGCCAGACCTGCAGCCACTGGAGCCAGAGCCTGGCTGAGCGTGTCCCTGGCTGTCCCGATGTGCAGCCCATGGCCCTGGGCAGTTGTATTTACATGATGTGGTTTCTGCTTGGAGCTGGTGCTCCACAGCAGCCCCGGGGGCTCTGCCTTCGCTCAGATCCTGGGTTCTGCCCACACTCCTGTGTTCCCTCTGCAGTGAGGAGGGCAAGAGCACCTGGCTGTCACTTCTGTCCCTCCCGTGTGTGCGGGCCACAGACCCGGCGTGTCTGTGTCCGTGTGTCTGGGGCCTGTGGAGACGGGACCTGCAACGGCTCCGGGCTGGGAACCGGCGGCTTCCGCACGGCCCCGCCTGCCCCCGCGGCTTGGTGTGCAATAAACGACAAAGCAGCTGCGAGGCGTGCCTGTGTCCTGGCTCCCCTGTGTCCTGGCTCCCTCTGTGTGTGTCCTGGGTCCCTCTGTGTATGTCCTGGCTCCCCGTGTGTCCTGGGTCCCCGTGTGTCCTGGGTCTGCGCCTGTCCTGGGTCAGCGTGTGTCTCCCAGGGTGGGGTCTGTGCAGGGCTGGGGCTCCAGGGCCATAACAGCATCCGGTGCTCAGCACTGGGATCACAAATCCCATGGATACTCCCCTGTGTCCTGGCTCCCTCTGTGTGTGTCCTGGCTCCCTCTGTGTATGTCCTGGGTCCCTCTGTGTGTGTCCTGGGTCCTTCTGTGTGTGTCCTGGCTCCCCTGTGTCCTGGGTCCCTCTGTGTGTGTCCCGGGTCCCTCTGTGTGTGTCCTGGGTCCCCGTGTGTCCCGGGTCTGCGCCTGTCCTGGGTCCCCGTGTGTCTCCCAGGGTGGGGTCTGCAGGGCTGGGGCTCCAGCGCCATAACAGCATCCGGTGCTCAGCACCGGGATCACAAATCCCATGGATTTTGTCCCTGCCTGCTCCAGTGCCCCACCCAGAGTCCCTAGAGTTGCTTGGGCCCGGCCAGGGGTGACAGAACCACCAGCGCTGTCCCCAGGGAGGGGCTGGGGCCTCACTGGCACAGAGGTGTGACAGCAGTGACAACAGCCCAGCCGTGCCACACCCCGAGGGGCTGGGGCACAGAGCCAGGGGTGGCTGTGGTGCACAACATTGGCTGATGGCAAAGGGTTAGCCCTGGACCAGGGGAATATGCTCAGTGAGAGCAGAGTGTGCGTGAGCTGAGGCCTTAACACCCCCGGAGACACACTGAGGGATGTGCTGTATAACAGCATCATGAAATCAAAAACCTCCACATGGCTCCCCCCAGCCCTGCCTGGGTGAGGAGGAGCAGAGTGCTGAGCAGGACAGACAAGACCCCAGCACCAGGGATTTAGTTTACAAGAATTTTTAATTTACAAATAAAAAAAACCTACACCTTTTACTTCTTCTCCTTTTTCTCCTCTTTCTTGCCATCGCTCTTCTCCTTGTCCTTCTCCTTCTCATCTTTCCTCTCCTTTTTGCTTTCTTCTTTTTCCTGCCCTTCCTTCTTCTCCGCATCCCTGTTGGCAATCTTGTTGTTGATGAGGTTGTGCAGGGCCACAACGGAGCGGATGAGCGAGGCCAGGTACACCACCACCATCTGGTCGTTGGTCTTCAGGTAAAAGGCCTTGACAAACTCCTGCAGGTTCACGTCTGGCAGCAGGTTGAAGACGTCCTGGAGGTGGTAGATGATCTGGTGGTTGATGGGGAGTTTGCCCAGGGCTACTTTCTCGAGGTAGCTCCTGATGTCCAGCAGCTTGGAGTTGAGTCCCTTCAAGCCATGGACCTGGTTGGTGATGCGCTGGGACAGCGTGCCCACCGTGGTGTCCTTGATGTCCCTGCAAGCCAGAGAGAGTGGGATTAGAGCCTCACCCCCGGGACCTTCCCAGCCGTGTGGGCAGGGCCCAGGGCTGCTGGCAGGAGGCTCCCAGGGTGATGCCATGGTTGCTGTGCTCCTCGGGCAGGGGCACCAGGAATGCTGTTGGCAGCGTGGCAGGGCCCAGGGCAGCTGTTCCCTCACCTCAGCAGGTGCTCCACACCCACTTCCTCAGCCTCCTCAGCACCAATCTCGCTCGTCACGTGCTCAAAGGTCTTGGAGGTGGGGGTGCCATCCTAAAGGGACACACAAACAGGGATTTCAGCCAGGGGATGAGGGATTGCACCGAGGAAACCAGAACAGCAGCCCTACACAGGCACAAGGGCTCTGAGAGGAACAGCCCTGGCTGGGATGTCCTTGATTTAATCAGTGTCACTGACTGCCCCAGCAATCTCTCCTGCTCTGGTTAACTTCCCATTTCTGCATTTTGCTGGTCTGTGCCTGGAGGGAGCAATGAAAATTCTAAATATCACAATTATTTCTCTCTTCCCTGATCCAGCCTTGCTGCATTTTGGGAGAGCAGCTCCTGCTCTGCAGTGAAGGCCTCAGAAAGGCAACGAGATGCAGAGTGAATTTAAATGCAACAGTTAGAGTGACTCACTGCTGGGTGTTGTTTGTGTGCGTGGGGCTCAGCGAGGAGTGAGCTGCTCAGGGCAGGCCCACAATGACTGGGCACCCTGCAGCCTGTGAGACCCAGAGTGACAGCCTCCAAGAGCTGCCAGCCGTGGCTGGGACACCTGACACAGTGAACACTCACATCATGGACCTCCTCCACGGAGATGTAGGCTTCTGTGGGCAGCCCCAGGTCCTTTGGCTTCACGTCAATGATCACCAGCACCTCGGGGAGAAAGAAAACGTGCAGAAAACTGGATTTCAGTCAAGGAGGAGGGAAAAAATACCCAAGCCAGCTCTTCCCTCCTCAGCACCAGCACAAGGCTGCCCAGAGGGGTAACTCAAGCACCGAGACAATGATCCAAAAAACTCCTGATCCCAGTTCCTCAACCACTTTACAGCTGTGTCACCAGCAAAAAGGGCGGGGGACAAGGCTGCCCAGATGCCCCTTTCAGGGAAAGAGAGGCAAGACCAACCCCCCAGGCCAGAGGTGGCACTCACAGAGTTGGGGCAGTATCTCTTCATCAGCTCGTTGATGGCGATGTCGTTCTTGTGCAGCTTGGGGCCCGTGTGGTACCACCCCACGATTCTTTCTCTGGCTGAGCAAAAGCACAAAGGATTTGGAATCAGAACTGGGGGAGGCCCCAGCAGAGAGACCTGGGCAGAGACTGGAGGGTGAGAGCCTGATCCGTGTGGAGGAGAGGGAAGTGGACTACAAGGCCATGGCTAGGGCAGTGACTGCACTCACTCATCACCACAACTGACCCACAGCTCTTCTCCTGGCCCCTTCACTGCCAATTAACAGCTTCTGTTAATTGTGTGGCTCTCAGGGTCTGACAGCCTGCACATCTGACATCGCCAGGTGCAAGCCCCATCCCTGAAGTGTTCAGAACCATGTGGATGTGGGACATGGTTAGTGGAGAACACGATGCTGGCTGATGTTGGACTTGATGATCTCACTGGTGCTTCCCAGCCTCAAGGATTCTGTGATTCATGGGAATTCCCTCCTCCACAGCCCTGGAAGTTTTTTGGGAGTGTATCCCTGACTGTCAGAACTCACCATTGACCTTCTTAAACATTCCATACATGTTCTCCAGATAGTCATGGTCCAGGAACCACACGGTATCATCCTTGTCATCCTCATCAAAGGGTACTGGGAATGAAACAAAACACCAGTGTTAAAGAATCCAACTTCCTGAATTAAAATGTCTATGGAAATGCTCTGGGTTTGGGTATTTTTGGCTGCTAAAGGAGAGTGAGGTTTGCTTAGGGGTGTTGACAGTAATTTGCATTTGTTGTTGGATATGACGTGATTTGTAGATGGACAGATCAAGGGTTTCTTCAAAACCCACAACACAATCCATCCACTAAATAACTCAGTGGCTTTGGAGAAGGGCAGGACACTGGAACTCACCTGCAAAGCTGTTGGACACATCCAGGATCTTCTTCTGCCAGGATCCCAGCAGCACTCCAACCACTCGCTTCTGATTTCCCACCTTTCCTATTCTAAAAGGAGAAGCGGCTGTCAGTGCCTGCCAGGAGCAGAGAGGAGGGGAGAAGGGACCCACCCGTGTCTGGGGTGGAAGGGAGGGCTGGGATTGTGCTGCCTCTGCTTGTGTTCACAGCCACAAAGGCGTTCCGCTGCCCTCGGAGCCCGTCCCCATCCCGGCCCGGTGTCACTCACGGGGGAGGCGAGCCCGACCCCGGCAGGGAGCGGCCCCAGCGAACCGCACCGCGGGCTCGGCCGCCTCCCGGCACCCAGGGTTCATTTTGGGCTCTCAAACCGCTCGGCTCCGGCGGCAGGGAGCGGAATCAGGCCCGAACCAGCCGGGGTGCCGGAGAACCGCGTCCCCTCCCGCCCGGGCCCCTGAGGGCCGCGCTCCCGGCCCGGCCGTGACTCAGCGCCGCGCCGCCCGCCCGCACCTGTTGAAGTGATCCACGACGCTGAGCAGCACCAGCGGGTGCACGACCACCCTGTCCACGGCCAGCTCCGGCATGGCGCCGCCCTGCCCTGCCCGGCGCGGCCCGGCCCGGCCCGGCGCGGCCCCGCTCGCTCCCTCCGCAGCAGGCCCGAGCGCCCT